CCTTAGTTGTCATGGTGCTTAGCCAAGGTCTCCCTCAACTGTCAAGGTGTCGAGCTGAGGTCTCTCTCAATAGCTGAGGTGTCGATCCGAGGTGACACCCTATGTACATATATACTCGATTAGGCTCGCAAGCCTCACAAATTGAGTTTTATTAAGCTCGAGCTCGGCTCAATTAGTAAACGAGCCTATATATTAGGCTCGAGTTCGGCTCAAAGCTCGGTTTAGACCGAGCCAAGTCAAGCTCGAGCAGCTCGTAAACAGCTCGGCTCTTGGCCACCCCTATGACTCAGCAAACAAATACCATGACCTTCACAAGGTAGATCCAATGAAAAGGCTTAACAATGAGAAGATGTTGAATGAGGTAAATTTTTCCTTTTACTGTGAGACATCTTACCTTCCTTGCAATTACCATAGCTTCCACCTTATTTCAATCCCTGCAACAAGGATATTTTTGCATTTTTGTTAATGTTTTTGCATTAGAACTTCCTCATTTAAAAGGCCACTACCCAATGTTGGTCCTAGCCATATGGGGTTGTCTTGGAAGAGGTAGACTGGATATGGACCTAACTTTTTGACATTTTTTCGCACAAAGTGATTGCTCTAAGACTCAAACCTGCAGTCTCATGCTTGTCAGCCAAAGGTTTTACCATTACACCAAGCAATGGCCCCTTTTAGGACTCTCATTTCTTGTCCTTATTTCTCATTTTGCAAAGAATCCAATTTTCAACTATTGATTCCATTGTAAACCACAATTGGACCACATAACCACAAAAAACAAAAGTTCATCAAAACGTGTTTTTTATAATAAAATAAATGTGTATTAAAATGAAAAACAGAGAAACAGAGAACATTTCAGCCCAAGGCCCCAAGCAAAAACAATAAGCCCTGTTTCAGTAATACAAACTATAAAAATTGTCCTCTCAATTGAAGATATAACAACCTCAAGGTACAAATGCTGAAGACCAAAACTAGCTACCTCCTAAAAATGAGCCAGATTGTAGGTAAAACGAAACACAACCTGGCAGTCCAAAGACCCCACCTCAAAAATATACTAAAGAACCACTGTTACAGGCAACCAGAACCACAAGAACCAACTGAAGATCAGCTCTAAGTTACCTGTTTCTTACCTCTATCACCCCTGCCCAATTCCACCACAACATTTCTTTGATGTCTTCACCTGGCTTAGAGTTTGAGGCTTCAAATTGCACATCTTAATTCTCACTTTCGACATTTACTAACACATCTTGATGATGAACCTCTTCTTCAGTTGCCATTAATTTCTTCAATTGTTCTAGTTACATCTTCTCAGACACCATCAAGTTGATTATTAGTATTGGGACCTTCTTCTTAGCAATTTTAAATTCAGATTCCTCAAATTCAAATTGAAGTTGACGATGCAAACGTGGAACCTCATGCTTTAAAACTCGACTTTTGTTTGCATCTCATTAAAATATTCAATCTTTCTTTTATGCTGCCAATCAAAAAAAAAAAAAACTTTCTGCTGTCATTCAATATTTTTAAGTATCGTTGAGTAGAAATCATCTTCTTTTTACTCTGGCAATCTAGGTGCATATGAAGTATACTTGTGACATTCAGCATCTTGTAAGAACATGGTGATAAACCATAAGATCAGATACCAGTTTGATGCAGGATTAACTGCTCTGCTACTAATCTAATACAAGATGAACCTGCAACGTTGGGGAAAAGAAGAGAGAACAAAAACAACCTAAGAATTAAGAACCTAGGCTTCTATCGGAATAAATACCTTTAGGTACTATTAGGAATCAGCACCTAACAGCTTTTCGAAGGAATTAGAACCATCACGAATATTAGAATCTTCAAAATTAGAAGAACAAAATTAGACCTTTATTCTTTGATATATTTATATGCAAAGAAAGGAAGGTTGGCCAGCCCTTTTCCCTTGATTTCATACTCTAAATTACTATCTAGGAACAATAAAAATACTAGCAAACTTGGGACTAAGACTTTGACTTAGGATTCAAGTAAGACAAATCTAAGTTGACTTAAGACTAGGAATAAGACAAATTCTACTTGAATTAAGACCATGACTTTAACCTACTAAAATAACCCTAGTTTTCTAACATAATTCCTAATCCAATTAGAAAAGAATCCCAATGTAATTAGGAAAAGCAACTCAAATCTAACTAGTAAAAACTGCCAATAACTCAAATAATCAGAAAAATAGCCACTGAAAGTTAAAATAATATCCCTACTATGCATAAATACATAAGAAAAATCATAAAATCCCAGATATGATCCATTTTCTCTTGCATCACCAACTTACTATTGCCTCTAGTTTACAACACCAATTTCACTTGTTGTCAGTAATGTGATACTTACTACTCAATCCAAACTCAAAAGTAGGATGCAACTTCGGGCCTTTGGCAGGTTGAGGGTCAAGCCACTCAAACCACAGCCTTGGGTCTGGCCCAACCCAAGGTCAAGCCCAAGTTTGCCAACACAGGCCCAACCCAAGCTTAACCTAACAAAAGCTGAGCTGGGCCAAGCTTGGGCAGGTTGGTCGGGTTTGAAAGTATTGTTGAATATTTTTTGTGTATCCATCTTTCGTTGGGCTTTGTAGCACAATTTAGGAGTAGAATTAATTGAAATATGCACAAACTCCACTGATAAATACATATACAAATATTTTTTACATATATAATCAGACAAGGACATTTAATATTTTTACATAAATAAAATGTATAATATGTGTGTATTTGTACATGTTTGTGCATGGGCGTGAATTGGCAGGCCCAAGTTGCAGCCCAGCTTAAAAGCCAAAGCAAAACCTAGTTCTCTAGTTTTCTACCAAATAATCAGGTTGTTTAATCTTAATTTCCTTTCTCTCCTATTATGAATAAATTTTTAATCTTCCAGGAAAAGTCAAGCCTTTATTCTTCCTGTTTTCTATATTTAGCAGATTCAAAAGATTAATCACTATCAACATTTTTTATTATTACCAATAGAAATGCTCAAGTCAACCTTAATCCCAACTATTTGGGATTAGCTACATGAATCCTAGCCCACCATTATGTTCTATCAAAAGACATGTTTTGTGTCAGATTTGAAGTCGTTGTACCATTTCTTACCACTTCAGTCCATATTTCCATTGGTCTTCCCCTTGCTTTTCTAGAGCCTTCTACTTGCACCAAATTGGTCCTCACTGGTGTAGTCATTGGTCATCTATACATATGAATAAACCATCTCAATTGACTTTCCCTCATCCAGTCACCAATTTGAGCCACTCCTAAGTCCTCTTTAATGTGCTATTTCTGATCCTATCCTTTCTAGTCTTTCCACTAAGCCATCTCAGCTAACAGCCATTTTTTTAACATGTTTTTGATTGCAGGGGCCATTGCTTGACACAAAATGGTAAAACCTCATGCTGAAAAGCATGAGAACATGGGTTCAAGTCTGAGAGAAGCCACTTTTTACAAAAAATGCCAAAGGCTATATCCATATTCAGTCTACCCCACCCAGATAACTGGAACCAACATTGGGTAATATAGCCTTTTGTTGACTCTTGATTAACCAGTACTTTGTCTCATATAACAACATGGATCCTATAGTAATCTTATGAAATTTTCCTTTTAGTCTCATTGGTATATGCTGATCACACGACACAAGATGCACCTCTCCATTTTACCCACCCTTCTGTAATTCTAATGGCAACATCCTCTTCAATTTCTCCCTCATTATGGATAATTGATTCAAGGTAACATAAGTGATTAGTTTAGGGGCTATCTAAAATGTTGGCGTCTATGGAAATGTCAGTCATCCAAACATAGGAGACATGTCAGAAATGTCGGAAATATCAAATGGAAATATTAATTACAGACATGGTGGAAACATTGTAAAATATGCAATAAAATGTATAATGATATTTTATGAAATGACAAAAGAAGCATAGGCACACCCTTTTAAATTATTATCTTGTTCCAAAGCATTAAATGAAGCTAAGAAACTAAGCTTATAGACAAAAGAATATGATTTGAAGTTGTCCTGTAAACCTTATGATTCAAAACTTCATGATAGAATAAGTTAAAGCAAAATTTAAACTCATAGAAAAATGTAAACGATTGTAATAGATCAACCAAATAACCTATTACACAAAGAAAAACTAATATTTAATTTCATGTTTGAAACGAACATTGTTACTCCAGATATCTACAATATTGACACCAACGTTTGTTATAATACTATCTCTTGTATCCCACATAGTGTTGGTAGTGTTCATTGGCAAATATGTTGATTCCGGTAAAATTTCATGTCACTACCATGGAAATGGAAATATTAGGGAATTTAGGGACATTTTAAACCATGAGTTATAGTGGAAGGGGGACCAATTGTTACTATTATCCACTAAGTTCAATTCCCTAGGGATCCAACTGAAAATGAGTTAGCAAAGTTGCCACAATCTCTCTAGATCTGTTCAAAAAGTAATACAACCTCCAAGGGACACTCTGTGATTTATCATTCTATCTGATTGTGTTCACCAAATCCCTTTCAATGGTGAGAGATGAAAGACCTAGCTGTTTCACTATCTCAGCGCCTAAAAAAAGAGCAACAACTTCAGTCCTTAGTAGGGTCAGTTTGCCTAATAGGCCCACTAAAAAATACCCAAAGGATATTTCCATCTATTCAATAGAAAACAACTCCATGCCAGCCACCTTGGGATCCCTGAGAAAACTTCCACCAAAATGTAATTTAAACTCACAGACCTCTTCTTTTTTTTTTATCAATAACAGAATTTCATTATATTAAAGAAATAGGTACAGCAATCCAGAGAGAGTTAAAAAGACTTAACTCTCTACAAGAGAGCAAACATAGCATTTCACAATACAGCCCAGTACAAATGATCCCTACAATTGTTATTATATCCTCTTCTAATGGAGAACGAGGATATTAATTGCACCACAATCGTTATTATAATTTTCAGTAAAATTGCAATGCATGCATTTGATCTTAATCCAACGTACCTGGAAACTTTTTTGCTTCTACAACATCTCCGCATTGTTCTAGCTTTGCATTCAGTTCCCACATTTAGCATATTAATCAATACCATACCAACAACATCAACAACAGAAATCACAAATTTTATTATGAAATTAAAAAAAAATGGAAAACCTACATCCTCACATGATATTTTGAGAGGAGGGAAATACATCAGCATTTGGATGTCCAAGTTATTTGATTAGATTACACCACACAATTACAATAGGACCTAGCACCCCCTTTTATTGTCAACCATTGTCACTAACTATTTGGACCAGGTAAACAAAACTTTATTTTCATTTCAGCCTTCCTTTTCATTGAGGACCCTAGATCCCATCTACTTTGAAGCAACGCCATATCCTCCATTGATACATCTAAAGAAAATTTTTGCTTATTACCTACCTTATCTTTATTAAAATAGTGGGCCTGCATACCCTGCATAGGCAAGTACCAAATTGGCAGATATAATGATAACTTACCAAATGAATGTTGCACGTCCAGAACTATCTAATTACCCACCCCCAGAGCCAATCCTCTCCATTTCCATGCCAATGTAAACGTCACCATTAAACAACTTGACAAGAGAAATTCCCCAATAATCTTATCTCGGACTACAATGACAACGAAGCATACATGTGATCGAAGATGTGAATTCAGTTATAGAAACCGCCCCCAATACCAGGCGTGGCCCAAAAGAAAGTTACTGTCCAAATTAAATACAAAACACAAATAAATAAAATCCTCTCATTCCGTACAATTGGAGCTCTCTGTCCATAAGCTTGAAGCTTTATGTATTCATCGAATTAAGACATACCAAGCAATATCAGCGCCGAGTTCAGATCAATAAATCATGTCAAAGAAATGAGTCTTTTTTTTCTTTTTTTTTATTTTTTTAAAACGCCATTGTGGAGAACAGCATACCAAAGGCAAGGGTAATCTTATTAACCTCAGTGTATTTCAGCTGCCAAATGATTAGAGAATAATGTAAAACCATGCAATTGAGATTAGTAAAGGTTCTAACCTCCAGACTTGCGTCTGCTGAGAACACGGTTCCTGCATGCCAAACAACATCACCAGAAAACAACGAAAACAAATTAAACTAAACAAATCAGATCTCTGCCAATCAACTACTGCAATTACTTGACAAATTAAGAAATAAATCAATATAAACTCAAAAAACAAAAAATCAACTTGGAACTGAGAGCGAGAGAAAGTGCCTTTGATTCGGAGGAGCGTATCGCTTGACGGTGGTTGTTGGGGCGGAAGAGTCGGGAGAGCTTTCTAGCATCTCTGCTGCAGAGATGAAGAATCAACAGCAAAGAATAAGAAGATACGAAGAGGAAGGAAAGCGGAGGTTTTCTTCCTCTGTCTGCTCTTCTGCCGATCAACAACCTCTGTCGACAGCTGAGACGCTGAAACTGGACTTACGGGAGGAGAGAGAAATGTGTTTTTAGTTTGGGAAAATTCCAAATTAGTACCTGAACTTTGGGGTAGTGTCAAGTTAGTATCCGAACTTTTAAATGTGTTATTACAGTACCTTGACTTCGAAAATTTGTCAAAATTGGTCCCTGCCGTTAACCGATTGTTAGTTATCTGTTGGAAATGTTAAAACTATTCTTCAAAAGAAGATGTTCATTGTCTTCTACCTTGAGACTGAACGGGTTATCTTGAAAGAAAAAAGAGAGAAAAAAACATGAAATATGATAAAGGGAAACAATAACTAAAAGCAAAGAAATAACTACACAAGAATATGTTTCAAATCTCAAGGTAGAAGACAATAACTTCAATAGTCTAGAATCTCAAACACCTCAACCGGTTCAATCTCAAGGTAGAAGACAATGAATAATGTCTTCTTTTGAAGGTAAATTTGACATTTTCAACAAATAATTGATGGTTGGTTAACACTAGGAACCAACTTGACACATTTTGAAAGTTTAGGTAATGTGATGACACATATGAAAGTTTGGGTATAACTTGACACTACCCCCAAAATTTAGGGTACTAAAGTGGAATTTTCCCTTTTAGTTTGCTCAATTTCTCTGTCTTATGCTTTTTCAATTTGAGATACTCTCATGGGACATCATGGAGACATGAATCGGATGTCAACATCAATGTTTTAAACCCATTGTTGACCCGCCTGGTCTGATCGGGAATCCAGATTCAATATGTGTTTGGTATAGTTTCTGTTTATTAAATAAATGTTTGTACTTTGATTTGTCTTCAAAACTGAGAAAAATACTCAATAAACCATTTATTGACAACTAGGTGCCACTTGGGGGAAGCGTTAAAATGAAACTTCCCCCAATAGTTGGAGCGCACATGCATCAAAACCAACTTTTGTGAATATTAGTATGTATGGATGAACATGATGAGAAAAATGTTGATCTAGCAATGGCATGACAGCATTTTGATAAACGCCTATCACAAAACATCCACATAACAAAAAACATGGTGATCAGTCATCACAAAACTTGTATTCACACCGCCCTGACAACACTTGTAGCCATGCATCCTAAGTATTTCCTTAGGATGTAAATATATAAATATAGAGATGTTCCAAATGCATGACTATAAGTACTACGAGGACAATGTGAGTACAGATTTTGTGAGTATTGAATCCATTCTCGTATGATCAGATGACCTCCTGACAAATAGCAAGGAATCCAAGCCCATTTATCCCATTAACTTTTTTGTAAGACTCGGTTTGGAATGAGTACAAGTGCAAATATGTATAGTGCATATACATACAAAATAATACAAGATACACGATTTTGCACTCTAGATAATTATATTTGTATTCCTTATTAGGCTCAGTTTGAAAAGAGTGGAAATATAAATATGTATAGTACAAATACAAGGTTTAGAAATACCTTATACAATTTTTTGCATTGTACAAAATATATTTGTATTTGCACTCTTCCCAAACTGAACTTAAATGTCAAGAAAAAGGAAAAAAAAGTTACTGGTTTGGTTCAACCATTGAACTTAGCAAGTCAGGGGTTATATATTATACCACTTCTAGTGATCCAATTGGGTGAACTATTAATGAATCATTTGATGTCATCAGTAGGTAATGGGATTACACATGACCTAAAGCAAGGGGGTGCAACTTATGCAAGAAACCTTGGGTTTGGGCCTGACCCAAGCAGAGGTGAAAACCAAGTTTATCAACTCAAGCTCAACCTAAGTTTAACCCAATACAACTCGAACCTGGCTTGAGCTCAGGATGGGTCAAGCAAGGCTTGGACAAGTTGGTCAAGTTTGAAAGAATTTATGAATATATTTTTGTATAACCATCTTTTATTGGCTTTTGTGGTCAGTTGGGAATAGAAATGTTTGAAATTATGTAAAAACTTATATCTATGGCAATTTGATCCATCTCCACTGGGCTCCACATTACCTCAGTCAAAGGCGGGTTTTGAGGAAACCCAAAACTTTGGTATTTGTCCACTTCACCCCAATTATATATAGTTCTAGGCAGGTTTTAAAAAAAAAGTAAAAAAAATTAAATAAAATTACAAGTAGAAATGATCGGGACGAGGCAGGGTAAATTCAGAGATCCCCATTCCCAATAAAAGATAGGGATGGGTTAGGATTTCTAGCCCTAGTGGGGTTTAGGGTTGGGGTATTTGAATTCAAAAATATTCAAATTAAAGATGATCTAAATTCAATCCATTTATATTTGAATCAAATATGAATCCACCCATATCCATCCTATATATGTAATCTATCTATCGATTGGAAGTCAAAAAAGTTATATCCAAATACCATATATCACATGTGGTCAATGTTTAGTTGAATACGTGTAGAGCAAGTGCTCTTATGCTAGTATTTATTGCATAAAAATTATTAATTGACATTAGATTCAAAGGCCTTCAAAGCCCCTATCCTATTAAGGCAAGTATTGACATCTTATATATACCTATTAATAGGAAATGGGTGTTCTCGAGCAACCCATTACCGATTATAAATAATTACTATTATTATAAATAACAGTAATTATTGATTATTACAATAGTTAATTACTGTAATTTAATAATTTATGCTTATTATTGTAATTTAATAATTTCTTATTATTACAGTAATTTAATAAATATATAATTAGTGATTATAATTAATATTAAAATGATAAATATTGTTATTATAAATATTGTTAATAAATAGATATTTATTTTAATTTTACTTTAAATTAAAATTATAAATACTATTAATAAATTTAGTAATTATTGTTATATTAAAAAAAATTAAAAATTTTATTAAAAGTATTGTTATTGATTATTTAATAAAATATTATAATTACTAACTATTACTAATAAATACTGTTAATTTAATTTAATTTTGGTAATTATTAATTTAATGAGTATTGTTAATAAATCCTATTCATAAATTTAATAATTATTGTTATATTAAAAACAACTAAATAATATTATTAAAACTATCATGAATGATTATTTAAGAAAATATTATAATTACTTACTATTATTGATAAATATTGTTAATAACGTTTTGACAAGGTTTGATCATTTGGTTCGAACAAATGACCCATTTTGACAACAAAAATTACAGGCAAAAAATTAAGTGTGTAAGGTCCATTAAGCAGTATCATACATGTTGTCATTCGAGCATGTAACTCATACGACCCGAAAAAGGAACCATTCTAGCCACTGATTTTTGGGTCGGCGGTTTGACCATATGGTTCAAATGGACAGCCTGTTTTGGCAACAAAAATTAAAAAAATAAAAAAAATGACCAAAAAACATTGACCAATTCAAACGGACGGTTTGGCCATATGGTTCAATGGGTTAACGGTTCGACCACTTGGGTTAATGGGTCGTTGACCGATTCAACAGTTTTTTGGCCAGGGACTAGGATCGGGGTAAAATGGAACCGGTTGCCTGGATGATTCCCGATTAAAAAAAAAATGAACGACCTGTTTTGACAACAAAAATTACAAGCAAAAAATTGAGTGTGTGAAGTCCATTAAGCAAATACCATACGTGTTATGTCATTCGAGTGTGTGACTCATACGACTTGAAAATAGAATCATTTTAGCTACCAGCTTTTGGGTCGACGGTTTGATTGTTCGGTTTGAATGGATGGCCCGTTCTGACAACAAAAATTAAAAAAAAGACCAAAAACCATTGAACGGGTCGACGGTTTGACCGCCCAGGTCAATGGGTCGTTGATCAATTCAACGATTTTCGGTCAGGGACTGAGATTAGGATAAAATGGAACCAGTTGCCTGGATGGTTCCAAATTAAAAAAAAAAAGCGGCCAAAAAGCATTGAATGGGTCAACGGGTCGACTGTTCGACCGTTCGGGTCAATGGGTCATTGACCAATTCAACGGTTTTTTTGCCAATGACCGAGATTAGGGTAAAACGGAACCAGTTTCCTAGACGGTTCCCAGGCCAAAATGTCCATCCATTCAGGTCAACGATGGTTCAAAAACCATGGTTTTTATGCTTTTGAATTTTCATTATTCAAAGGTTTCTTCTACTGTAGGCTTTATTCGAGCATGTGCGGTATATTCATTTTTTTTCATTTTCTGCTTTTTTTTGTGTGTGTTTGGTCTTCTCTTCAAGATCCTCCAAAATGGTTTAGGGTTTACCACCATTTTATTTCTTCCCTTTTGTTTTTTCTTTGGGTTTTCTTGTGCATTTTTTTCTCTTACAAAACGATTTGCTTTGTTTCTTTCTTTGATTGCATGTAAGTTTAGCTCCGTCTCAAAGCGGAACTTTGGATTCGATTTTATAGTTTTTTCCTTGGTTTTTCCAATTTGGTGGATTTTCCACCAATTTTTTTATGTGTTTAAAGTCACTTTGGATTTAACTTTCAAGGTTTTGGAATCCCTTGCAATGTATACCCTTCCCATGATTACGACTACAAAGTTATTTCGTCTAATTATTGACACCTAGGAAAAATGACTCAGAAACAGAACCATTTTGGCCACCGGTTTCCAGGTTGACAGTTTGACTGTCCAATTTGAACGGATGGCCCATTCTGACAACAAAAATTAAAAATAAAAAATGGCCACAAACCGTTGAATGGGTCGACGGGTCGGCGGTTAAACTGCCTGGGTCAATGGGTCGTTGACTGATTCAATGATTTATGGCTAGGGATCATGTTTGAGGTAAAATGGAACTGGTTACTTGGACGGTTTCCGGGCCGAATGGTCCTACCGTCCGGGTCAACTAGGAGTTATTGGTGTGAAACAAAGGACAACTATGAAGGAGAAATCAGAACTATCACTATATGATCATGTTCTTTTATATGAGATGCTTTGCTGAAGCAATATTTAAAAAACAAGCACATGATGATCTCTTTTAAGTCTTTATATGAGTTTCAAGACTTAAGTACTTATAATTGCAAGTTTCTTATTAAGAAACCATTGTCTTTAATGTAGCAAATAACAATATTACAATTCCATTCCAGCCCC